TTCTATTTTTGGAGAAATTTTTTAAAATTTAGTTCAAAACCTGAAGACAGTTTATGGAATAGTTGAAAATGTCTGTTAAATAATTTTCTCTCGGCAAACCTTAGGTCAGGGCTTCTTAAACTTTTTTTATTCACGACCCCATTTATGATTGTGATTTTTTTCGCGACCCCAAAAAAATATAAAATAAAGATATATACAAATTTGCAAAAACAATAATGGTGTACTACCACAGTTCACTCTTGTGTTACAATAGAACAGAGACAACTAAATACACTAAAAAGCGACAATAATACACCAGTTCACACTACAATCAGTGTTGCTGAATCGTTGTCTCGATACACCAAAAGCGCAACTCACGAAACCTATGACACAAAGCGTGCCATTTTCAAACTCTCACAAACTATTTTCAATATTTTGTATTAAAATCTCACGACCCCAAGATTTCGCTAAGCGACCCCAAATGGGGTCGCGACCCATAGTTTAAGAAGCCCTGCCTTAGGTGATGTAATAAGATTGTAATTAAAATACCATTGAAAATAATATATTTCAGTAATAATCAGTAGTTGAGATTTAGTCTCAACTACTAATTATTTGTTGAATAAAACAGCAAAAGTTAAGAGAAAACTGTTTCCTTGATGAATGATCTATTAATAAAAATCAAGATTTCACTAAGAAAAAAAAGAAAAAAAAAGAGAGAGAGAGATGAAATCACAAAAACATTTATCACTCTGTTTTCAACAGACTCACATTGAAAAAAACTTCAGTTCAAGAAGTACTTTCTTATTTCATTTTACATTTATTTATTTATCATAAAGTATTGTAAAAATAATAATAAAAATAACTTGTAAAAAATAGTTTCGAAAACGAATAAAAGTTTTAAAATGTAATTATAATTTTCTTTAATTATTTTTCATAGTATTCTATAATAATAATAATGAAGCAATTTAATTTGTTTTGAATAAACAAATTTTTATGCTCTCTTCAACAAATCATGATTATTAAAATAAACAATTTTAAGTCATTCCCACTTGTCTCTAAACAATTCATCAAATATTCATTAAAATGTTAAACTGTTTTCCTAAAAAATTAAATTTCTCTCTACACAAAAATTCATTTATCACTAATAAATATGCTTTGCTATATCAATTATTATAAGTTTTATATGAACTTAAGGTTTAATTAGAATCTAGACACTTAAAATATAATAATGAATAAAGTTTAACTGACATAATAATATAACTGCATGTTATACTATATTCATCAAATATGATAAAAATCATGTCAATATAGTGATCAAATGGAAAAGTCTAAGGAAATGTATTGCCTGGATAAAGAGTGAACCAACCCAGGGTGGAAATGCATCATTATAATAATGTTTATTCTTGAATATGCTTTTAATTTATGAAATAAATCCCTTTTTACTTTACTTTTTTTTTGTTAAAGAGATGACTAAAGTTGTACAAATGATTAAATACATCAAAGAATGATAATTTAGAAATTTTGAAAGGTAAATGCTTAAAATTTAATTTAGTTTGTTTGCAGTTCAATGAATGTATATATAAAAAATTTTTTATTATTTAATATTTATTAGAAAAATGATATAAAAAAAACACAAAATGTAATCTATTAATATTAAATTTTAATACATACCATAAAGATCCATTAAGATCTGAATAATCATATAATAATCCACTTCTAAACTGTTCATCTGGATCATCATGTGTAACTGTAGGTAAAAATGGTCTTTTAAGACCATGGGGTAAAGTAGTAGCCTGAGTAGTTGCAACATTTGGAATTGCACTAGACTGAGTTGAAGTAGATATTCCGGCTTTAATATCTTCTGACTGCGTTACAGGTATCCACTGATTGGATGAAAGACTTGGTGAACTATCTGCTGCTTTTCCACCATCCAGTAATGATGTTAAGGGGCTCTAAAATTTACAAATGAATTTTTTTTATAATATAGAAAAGTTTGTTAAGAAATTTTTTAAAATTTTAGTCCATTTATTTTAAATAACTATGATATCATTTGCTTTTAAACATCAATGATTTCCAAATTCATTGTTTGTTTATTTTTTCTCAATAGATCTAAACAGATAAAAGCAGGGATGGAGAGTTGGAGTCAAAAAACATGTCAACTCCCAAACACCTTACATCTTGTTAATGTTTAAAAAATTTTAAAAGCTGTTAATGCTGTTATTAATTAACATTTTCATATAAAATGATTAAAATTTAAAAACTCTGTATTCAAATTCAATACTTTCTGTTTTCTTGCTACTTTTTAATTTTTATTTCATGTAAACAGTTTGGAAATTGTAAAGAATCCTACTATATGATTAAAGTATGATATTACTATATAAATTAATAAAAATTATTAAAATATAATTATTTTATTATTTATCTTAAAATTATTATTATTATTATTTTAAATTTAAACATTCTTCTAAAATATTATATTTTCGTATATACAGTGGGTGATTGGTTAACGAACAGTTTGGATAGTGAACACTTTCACAAAAGATTTTTATGATCAGACAACGAACACATGTTCGGATAACAAACATTTTACTGAACAAACATAAAAAGAAGCAACAGAAAATAACGAATACTGAGTGATTTTCCCTTGTCTTCAGGCAACAATTCGAAACCTTTCGGAGTGTGGGAGACGTAACATTGACGCTATACCCAATACTGATTGGACAGTATTCCTCCGAATTTTGAAACTCTCCCTTGTAATTCCAACTTTTCGTTTACCTTTCTGACAAATAATTTTTTATAGTCTTTGCGAGAATGTTTGACGGGCACTTGTTAAGTTTTGCATTGGGGTTTATTTACGAAAGGTGAAAGTTTAACTGGCCCATCGGATATTCATTAATGTTTTAATATCAAATTTCGAATTTCATCCGAGCCTTGCATTTAAATAATTTTTTGTGGGCTAGTTAATTTTTGTACTCTGAATTTTTGTAAGTGCTTTTCTGAACTTTTCATTTAAAAAAGAAACTGATAATATTATGGAGCCTAAAAAAGAGGAGTGTCAAGAACTGTGCTCACTGTAGAAACCAAGTAAGAGATAATAGCCAGGGTAGAAAGTGGGCACATAATGTCTGATGTTGCTAGGCAGTATGGCTTGAAAAGGTCTACAGTAGGCACAATCTTACATATGAAAGATATATCAAGAAGGCTCAAGCTGCTAATGGAGTAATGAAAATCACATCTGAGAAATAAAGAGCATTTTAGAGCTCATAATGGAACTGGATCTNCCGCAGTTCAATCTTATCCAAGGAAGATACTGTATTATCAAGAAGACTCAAGCAGCTAAAGGAGTAATAAAAATCATATCTGAGAAATAAAGAACATTGAAGAGCTCATAATGGAACCTGGAATGACAACAAAAGAACGCCAAGAAATTTGGCGAGATATGTTTTCTTCTGAAAAAGAAAATATATCTCGCCGATATCTGCTACTAAAGATCTTTTGAGGAAGTGGGAGGGTGTCAGAACAACGGTCTTAAAATGGATCCAAACCAGCTTGAGGCTAATAGGCTTGGGGATCTCTATAATTACAATACTATTAATTACTTCCGAAAAATCCTGAAGAGGAGAGAAAAGCAATCGACATTAGACAGATTTTTTAACCCCCACAAACGGAAAAAACACGACTGATAAAAATGCAAGACTGTGTATATATGTATTTTTACTATTACATATAAATAAACATAGTAAAAAAATATATATTTTTTTATTTTTTGGAGTCTCCAGAATGAATTAATTAAATTCCCATAAAAACCTATGGTAAATCGATAATCAGTTAATGAACAATTCGGATAATGAACAAAGTCTTGAAATGGATTATGTTCATTAACCGATCGCCCACTGTATTACTATTTTTATCAAAAAGCTTATAACAACCAACTTTACTTCTATTAAACAAACTACTGATTTACTTGCACTGCATTAGTGAAAGGAATCAGGAATTGAAGTCAGAGTCAATTTTAAAAAAATACAAACTCGGGGAATTGGAAGTCAGGCATTTTTCCTCCAACTTCCCATCCTGGGATAAAAGCATACAATCACCAATATTACAGATCAAGCCAGAATTGTCCTCAGAGGCAGATTAAGCTGGTGTTGCACTGGCAGTTGCTGGGAGCCCCATGATCAATTGGGTCTCAGGAAAACTTATTAAACAAAAATAATTGAAATTTTTTACTAAGCAATTATTTATATGATTTTATATGCTTTATTGCTTGAGAATAAAGCTAAACACTTTAAATAAATTATGATGTTCATTATCACAAAAAAAAAAGGCAAAGCCCTTGCAATATTAATTTGCATATGGAAATAAGCATTAAATCTCTATCAAAATAAGTTTAGCATGAATAAATGTATTGTACTAGAAATAATTTGCTGCTTTACTACATCAAATGAAAGACTGATGTTTTGAGATAAAGACTACAGATTGGAAATTATGACTTGTGGTGAATATTTTGCATATTTTGGACCTTCTGACATATTTCACAAAAATATAAATAAAAATGGTAGATAATGCTCAATCAATAGGCACTATTTATAAATAAGATTAATAACAACTAAAAAACTGAAACAATTTCACAAAAATTGTTAAGCAGTTATTGTGGTGAGTTTAAAACCAAATTGAAACTGTTCAATCATCCACATGTCAAAGACCAGATACAACACATCATTTTGTGATAAACCGATTAATGCAAGCCAGCATTATTCATCAAATAAACATCAATAGAAACTCAAGATATGAAGCAATAAATGCAACACCAAAAGTACAGCAGCAGATTAATAACTGTTTTAACCATGAATCAGAATTTAATTGGTTTTACTGGAAGCTTTTATGGCAACAGACATACCAATTTACAAGATTAACAATCCAAAACTGAAGAAATTTAAGAAATGGACATGAGAGAGAGAAAAGCATAATCCATTAAATTTGACAGCACTGCAAAAAGATTATTTTGGTAATTTGTACGAACAAATAGAATCTTGCATCATGAACAAATTGAAAAATAAACTTATTTTGGTTGATGGCAGACAAGACTCTTCATTGTCAAAAGTAAATAATAATTAATATTTTAGCTGGAAATTTGGATAATGACTATTTAATACTTTCCATAAACTGGAATAAAAATACTAGAAGACTTGCAGACAACCTCCATAAATTCCAGCAAAATTATTTCATTAAACATTTCTGGTCTCTTTAATTGGCCAGCTTCAGGTCATATATCATAAACCAACAGAATATGATGTTCTATTAACAGAATGTGTAGGTGTTTGATAATTTTACATTATAAATTTTGAAATTTTAAAATTTGTGTTAAGAATAATTTTTAAATTTTTACATCAAAGGTTATTATAAAATATCATAGCAAGTTAAATACACAAAAAATTATAGCAAATTAAAAAAGTTATAAAATTAAAAATAACAACAGAACAAATTAACTTAAAACTATTTAGGTCCCATTTGGTTGTGAAACTTTTGTGTGCTGTTATAAAATGTTTGCCATGCTGCTAATAGATATTGGCATTTGATAAAATTTAGGCATTCAACTTCATCAGATGCCTTGAATATCTACAAGCATTCCAAAGTTCTGATCTGATCAATGTGAAAGGTCTGTTGCACCAACTTGATGTGATCTAGGTAAGTTGTTACTCTAGACTAATTTCAAAATTTTGTTATGCATAACATAAAATTATTAAATGCCTACACATAAATCAAAAGAATACAATGTTCTATTAAAGATTTATGAGCTTAAGCTGGCTTATTAAGGAGGCTAAAAACAATTGTCTAATTAAATTGTTTTGCTGAAATTTGTGAAGGTTGTATTTCTTACTGGATGCTGACTACAAATAAATAAAAAATAAAGACTTTTTGAAGCATACCTATTGTTAATCTAAAACAACATTATTTCAAAAACAATTATTCAAGTTCTTCAAATAGTTTATGGTAAAAGTATTATATTTAAAAATATTTTATTGTTTGTCACTGATGCACCTACAAACATGGCAGTGTCAGCAAGATATTTAAAGGTTTAAATCTGAAGCTTATTCATATAACTTGCTCACTCATAGTGTTAATGTGATTGTTGAAAAATACCTGGTTCTCTAACGCTGATGCATTCATCTTGAACATAAAGAAATTGTGCAAGAAATTTCCTTATTTAAGGAATTAAATCCAAATTTATCTTTACCTTTGGAGTCAGTAATTACTTGTCAGTGTGCCTGGCTTAATAGTTTGGATAATTACAAAACAAGAGCTTACTTCAAACATGAACTAAATATTGATTATTTCAACTCATTTTTCATTTCTTAGTAACACAATATGTAAGTTCGAAAGTAAGAAGCTAGGAAATTTTTAAAGTATTTTTCCACATGTTTTTTCTCATTACTGTTTTCGGAAAAATATTTTGTAAACAGTTGTGTCTAGTAAAGAAAAGTCTTTTTTTATTGTTACATAACTCATTTTTTATGTGCATTTTTTTGCGGTAATTCTAGGCTAGTTTTTGGCGATACCCCAAAAGAATTTGACAACTATAGTCATTGCTCACTGCTGAGTGGTTAAAATATTTATGTGTGTAATTTATTTAAGTAAAAATTATTTTATATATTTTTATTTCTAAACATGAATCCATAGTAAATTTATAAAATATTTGAAAAAAAAATTGATCTGTCATCAATTTTTCTGCAACTCCTCAAATATTTTTCGCAATCCCCACTTTGAGAATCACTGGTGTAGGTCATGCTTTCAGCATATGTGATAAACAGGAACTCTGGACATGAAAAAAACATATCTGCTTATAGAAGTTTTGGGAGTCATTAATCATATAACAACTGCAAATTTTTAAGCATTCCATGAGTATGTTGTGGAGAAATGGCATAGATTATCATGTTGTTTCATTACTGATGCTGCACCTAACATGAAAAAGGCTGATCAAGAACTTGAAGTACTTTATTTTAAAATAATAAACATTACATGTCTTCTGCAAGTAATGAATAGAGTAGATGAAGTGGGAAAAATACTCTGATGTGGATAAACTAATTTTATATGTGAAAAAAATGTTTCCAAAAGTACCTAAGTAGTGAGAATTGCCCAAGAATTTATCAGGTAATCTTTCACTCCCACAACAACCTGTAATTAAGCATATAGGACTCCTGGCTAAACACTTAAATTTTATACAAATAATTTTGAAAAGCAGTTACAAAGCTTGATCAAAAGGAAGCTGCTGTTACCGTATTTTCGTGGAATGACAGTCTATCTGGGGAGACCATAAAATCAGATATTTCAATATGGTAAAAACCAGCATGCCAATTTATCTGGGAGAATGCTGGCATGCTGGTTTAAGTGAGGTTATAGATCCCTCTTTAAAAGGCACATTAAAAAAAAAAAGTTTTTTTCCTAAAACTGTGGAACTGTCAGCTTTACATCAAAAACTATGATTATATGTTTAATTTCTTCATTTTGTCTTCTTTCTAACCACATAAAATACTCTTAGAATTCCAAAAGTGCTGTTTTTTGTGTGTAATTTATTGTTATTTGGTTCAAAAATGCAAAAATAAACATATTAATTTAAGAAACTCTGTAAATTAACTCAGCTTATACCTATTAGCAATGGCTTTGTGTGAAATTTAAGAAGGTGTTATTTTTAAGGTCAGATAGATGATCAGTGTAGCCCACAATGATCAACAACAAAAAATAACTACAACTACTACTGTCAGTAAGTTGTTAATTGCTTTAGTAGCTTGTAAACCAAAACTCTCTTCCTGATTTTAAGTTGATCAAATTACAATGTTATTATTTTATTGTACTCGGAAGAATGTTTTCTTTAACATTTAATTAGCAATTAGTTTTGTTAGATCTGATTAATTTTATATGCTAGTCACAGTTTAACCAGCATGCTGGTCTCCTTCATTTTTATGCGGAATGCTGGTCATTCCGCAAAAATATGATATATGTACAGCACAAATGTTGTCCAGAAGATTGAGAACTAAAATCAATTTATGCTCATTAAAACCAATTTTCATTTTCTTTGTGAAGCAATTTTACAGTTTAAAAAATGTGATAATTGACTGATGGATGCTTTGGAAATAGTTGAGAAGATAAAACACAGTTTAACAACTAATAAAGGTGTTTTTGTACATGCTATTTGCAAAAAAATGTATTATGTATTAGAGAAAAATGAAGGATTTACAATTTTTAAGCTTATTGCAGATGCATTAAGAGGGGAAAAAATGTTTCCTCAGAAACACTGGAAGAACTAAGAGTACAGGAAGTTCTGTATTTTAGTTATGCTCCCATACCTCTCAATGATGTTCAACATTCTTTATCTGGATACAAATCTTACTAGCAACCAACAATGTTATACTGTTGAAACCTTCAACATTATTTAGTTGTGCTTTACAGTATGTAAGCTAAGTAAATGTAATCTTATAATATGTAATCTTGAAATCTAAGTAAAATTATAGTTTTCCAGTTTACACACTTCTTACTTCATTTGCTTATTAATTATTATTTGCAAAAAATGTGTGTTTATCATTAATATATTTTGAAAAACCTTTAATATGTTTCCCACATTTTTTGGCATAAACTTCTAGGACTTATTTATTTCTCATAAATTAATTAGTTTGGAAGCAAAACTCAAATGACAATCCAGACAGCATAATTGGCACTGGATCTACATGATAAGCAGAAGTTGAAAGTTTGGGTTCCATTCCAAATCATTATTTTCTTCCAAAATAGATTAAGTTAATTTATTTAAATAGACACCCATGATTGCTGTAAATAATTGGGCACTAGAGGGCGGCATTAGCACCATCTTGTATTAAATTTAATGATATTTAATTTATTAATTTAGAATAAACTGGAAGAAAAGAATTGGCCTGAAGTAGGACTCAAACCTGCAACTCCCGCTTACCATGCGGACGCATTGCCAGTTACGCTATTTGGACCTTCAATCTGATCTCCTCCTCTTCCAGTATATATAAACCTAATGTATAACCATCAATGGTTAATACGGTGCTGACTGAGGACACACCCGGTTGGCACTGTAAACATTGGGTTTCGATAGATGTTTATATTTGTTAATTTATTTATTTCTAATTATTAAATATATTATAAAATGGAAGAATAACTGCCTATCTTTAGTCAAAATTACAAACTATCAGTGTAATTAAGTAGCTAAGTTCTAGTCCAAGAATTAATCCAGTTCTATCATTTAATTATTAAACCTTTTTTAAAAAGAAAAATTATTTTTAAAAATCTATATGACACAAACACAATTACCATTAAAACTTATATATTTCTCACATATTTCTGTATTTGATTATAAGTTAAAAATAAAAAATTATTAAAAATTTTTTAATTACAAACAAAAAAGATTTACCTGTTCAGGATGAGATTTTGTTTTCCCATTATTACTTGAATCTTGTATACTATTTGGACTAGTAGTTGCTGTAACCTGCTCTTGTGATTCCGACCTTAATCCTTCTTCCTCCTTCACAGGAGGTGGATGAGGAGAAAGAGTTGGCATGGCTGGATCAGATGATGTTATGTGAGAACCAGATCCATCAGGAAGAGGTGTAGCAGGATGAGGTGAACCCACAGAGGACGGTTGAGTAAACGAATTCTGTAACTGAGGCAATCCTGTGGGTGTAGCTGCCCTAATTGAAGAATTTATACCAAGTGTTTTGTATTGATTTGATGAAGAACCAGATACTAATACTGATGTATTAGTGTTAAAGTTATTAGTAATACTTGGGATAGCTGGTGGAACATAATTATCATAATCAACTATAGAAACTGTTTCTGAAGAAAGATTACGTTTATGGAAAGGCATTAACCCTCGTATTCTTTGTACATTTCTTTCTTTTTCTAATTTTTCATTTTTACTGGCAGTATTTGTAGTATTATTTATATTACCACTATTATTTCTATGAGAACCTGTTACTGTCCCTGATGGTGTCCCAGAGAATGCAGCAGGGTTGGTATTTGAATTCAGATCTACCTTGTACAGTACCTGAGATGATGACTGATTCTTTTTACTCCTGCAGAACAAAGAAACAAAATGAATTTGTATTTAAAATTCTTCTAATAATTCATTTATTAGAATTCAAAAAATTAAAATTGTACCTTAATGAATAAATGGAGATAAATACTACATTTTAATTAATATTAAAATATTATAAATAAAAATATGATGATATATAACTATTTTTACATATTATATTTTTCAGTTATAAATATGACTATAAAAAATCAATTATTGAAACTTTGATAAAAATTATTTAAATAAAATCCATATATAACCTTTATCAAAAATAATAAACTTTACAAATTAACATGAGCTTTTAAAAAAACTTATTTTTATATATGAATTTTTAAAATTATATTTTTATCAAAATTTTTCAAATAATAAATGTTCTATTTGGATTTTGCTTAATTCAATTATAACAAATCCTCTATATTTAAAATTAATGTATGTAAAAAATTTTAATTAAAAAGCTGGCAAGGACTCTTGCTTGACTTCTCTGGTACTTGAAAAGAAGGTTAAGGAAACCAGGGAGGAGTCCAATAATTTTCAATTATACTACTATATAAAATTTAAATAATGAGAACAGCTTAAGAGGAGTAATTTTGTAGAATTATGAGAAACTTCTGTATTTAAAAAAATATTTAAGTTTAAAGACACTAAGGCACATTAGCACGAAGTTAAAATTGTGTGGGGAGCCATCTGTTATTTGATTTTATTAAATATAATTTTTAAATGATTATTAAAAGGGATTAATTTTGAGGATAGAGATGAGTTTCTAAAAAATTGTAAATGCCAATGAGTAAAATTTTCATTAAGTCTGACCCTACTCAAGATATGGCACATAACCCACTTCTATCATCCAACCCCTTGACTTTTAAACCACCAGAATTTAATGCATCATTGCCTCATATAAAGAAATAATTCTGCAGTTTCAAAAACTTTTTTCATACTCTTTGACACAATTTTCTTTTAATTTATATAGAGTATAGAAAAAAATAAAACATAGCAACAAATTGAACCTTAAAAGAAATTCAAGGATATTCTATTGTAAATTTTAATGTTTTCGATCTACATAGGAGATCTTCCTCAGGATTCTCTAAATTGGAATGTGGAAATGGAACATTTTTAAGAATTATTTGAAAAAAACCGTATAAATGACAATTTTTTAAAGAATTTTCTCAAAAAATGTTTACTTTTAAAATAATTTAAATCGATTAAATCAAATTTAAATCTCTTGAAAATAATTTTTAATTAGACTGTTCCCTTTGGTATAAGGATTGCCAGGCATAAGATAATTGTCCTTCCTCTTTGAAATTAATGCAAACATTTTAAAAGTTTCTTATACAGAAGAATAACAACATTAAAAGTAATCCAAAAATTTATATTTTCATAAAAAATAAAGCAAAAGCATCATTACATATATATATATATGTAATGATGCTTTTGCTTTATACAATTGGTAAATCATTTAAGATATAAGTTAGGATTTCAGTAAACTGAAACAGAAAAAAAATTAAATGTTTTTGCAATGTACTATACAAAATGCAAAATTTATTTTAGAACATACTCTTGAGACAACATCTGAAAAAAAAATTTGAATGAAAGAGTTTGAATGAGAAAGCTCAATAAAATCAAATTTAAGAAAGTTCCCTTTTCTAGAACTAATACAGAGCTTCTAGACTCCCACTAAAAGTTTTAGTTTGTTTTATTCGAACCTTAAAGTTAAGGTTCGAATAAAACAAAGGGAAATTGAGGAAATATTTCCTCAATTAAACTTTAGGGTTCGAATAAACCCCAGGGAATAAAAGTGCTGTTAAAAATAAACCCCACTTTTAAACTCTGGGTTTAAAAGCATGAGAAATATTTAAAGTACTGCACTATATAGGGTAATGTAGTTTAGAGTGACAGGTAAGAAGTAAAATTCTACCTTGTCAAATTGTCTAGAGTTGCACAGCACTATAAAAGTCAAATAGATTTTAGAATTTTTGCTATTCAAGATAGAAAATCAATGATATTTGAAAGTAAATTTAAAATTTAACAGATAAACAAATACAAAATTTAAAAAACAAACAATTCTAAACAGATAGTTCAAATTTCTTATAAAATGAAATTAATTCTTTTTAAAATGTTTCAATTTAACAAAATTTTGCACACACTTTATGAATTATTGGAAATCATCCATGAAACTGTTTCACAATTGAAATTTGAGTAATTCAACTGGCCACATACTTACTAACAATATTCATTTATGAAGATATATTGGCTTTGCTTCAAGCCAATGCTTTCATTGTACTGTTGTTGTTAAGTTCCATCGAGTCGTCGTCGACTCCTGGTGATTTCATGGACTAGTCTTCTCCATCTTGATCTTTCCCTTGTTGTCTCTTGTAGCTCCTCCAGCTTCATTTCTGTGACTTTCTCTATTTCTTCCATCCGTCTTATCCGTTGCCTTCCCCTCTTCCTTCTACCTTCCACTTTTCCCAGCATAATAGTCTTCTCTAGGGAAACTTCTTTACGCATCACATGTCCAAAGTAGGCCAATTTTTGTTTTAAGATTCTTGCTCTAAGGAGAAGCTTGGCTTATTTTTTTCTAAAATTGAGATATTTGTTTTCTTTTCTGTCCATGGAACTCTAAGTAATCTTCTCCATACCCATAATTCGAATGCATCTATCATTTTTCTTTCCTTTTTCCTTAGAGTCCAGCTTTCACAGCCATATAATGTTACAGGGAAAACCATTGCTTCTACAATTCTTTTCTTAGTATGAATGGAAATGTCTTTATCTTTCATTATCTTGGTGAGATTTGCCATGGCTGTTCTGCCAAGATTAATTCTCCTCCTGATTTCTCCTTCACAACTTCCATTCCTTTCTATCTTTGAGCCCAAAAGTATGTAACTTTCTACCACTTCAATTCTTTCACCATCCACAATGAAATCTTTTAACTCTTTAGTTGACATTACTTTAGTTTTCTTTACATTTAGCTTCAAACCAAATTTAGCACTTTCTTCTTTTACCCTTATGATAATTTTTTCTAAATCTGCTTTGCTTTCTGTCAAAAGGGTGGTATCATCTGCATATCTTATATTATTAATAGTTTCGCCTCCAATCTTGATACCAATGGACTCTTCATTTGTAGTAACCATTCTCATGATATATTCAGTATATAAGTTAAACAGATATGGAGACAAAATGCAGCCTTGTCGCACCCCTTTCTCAATTTTAAAGCATTCAGTTTCTCCGTATAGAGTTCTTACTTTTGCTTCTTGTTCATTGTAAAGACTCATCAATAAAGATATAAGGTGTTCAGGAATTCCCATGCTCCTGAGTACTTTCCATAACTTGGAGTGATCCACACAATCGAAGGCTTTACTATAGTCTATAAAACAAAAGAAGGCGTCCTTCTGGTACTCTTTTGCCTTTTCTAGAATCCATCTGATGTTGCTAATTTGATCGCGAGTTCCTCTTCCCTTTCTAAATCCAGCCTGTTCCAGTGGCAATTCTCTTTCTAAATATGGCTCAATTCTCTTCTGTATTATTTTTAACAGAATCTTACTTGCATGGGGAATTAGTGCGATTGTTCTATAGTTGGAACATTCTCTTGCATTGCCATTTTTTGGGATTGGTATAAAAATGGATTGCTTCCACTCCTTTGGCCAAACCTTCTTTTCCCATATTTGTTGGCATAGCTTTGTTAGTATTCTAATTCCTTCCTCTCCAGCTGCTTTGAGCAGTTCCACTGGAATTCCGTCAGTTCCTGCTGCTTTCCCAATTGAAATTTGGTTGATTGCCCATTCCACTTCTTCCTTCAAAATTGATGGTTCCAAAGTAAAATGTCTTCCTTCAATTATTTCTTCTATATTATTATCTGCTTTATAAAGCTGTTCTGTATATTCTTTCCATCTTCTCTTTATTTCACTTTCTTCCATTAGATCTTTTCCATGTGTGTTCTTTAAAATACCAAGCCTAGGGGTAAATTTTCCAACGACCTCTTTAATTTTTTTGAAGAGATCCCTTGTACGTCCTTTTGTATTATTTAATTCAACTTCTTTGCATTTATTATTAAAATATTCTTCTTTATCCTTCCTAGCCTGTCTTTGGAACTCTGCAGTTAATTTTTTAATTGTTTGACAATCTCCTATAATTTTCGTTTGTCTCCGAGTGTTTGCAATTTCTAAAGATTTGTTTGACAAGCCAAGGCATTTTCTTATTTTCCTTCTTCTTCTTTCCTATGCATTTATCAGCAGTATGTTTCATGGTGTTTTTTAATGGTGTTTTTCATTGTACTATAAATAGCTTAATTGTTGGTGTGAATAAAATGTTAAATTAGTTTTTTAATTCAAATATTAACTCTCTACTGATTCTAATGGAATCGTTATTGTTTCTACTAAAATGAAAAATTCTCTCTGAACAACATATTTTGTAAGATAAAACCTAGATTAAACAGCTAAATTTAATCTGCAAAGAACTCAAAACATTTTTTATTAAAAAAATATCTAATAGCTAAATTTAAATTGGGATTAAGAAATACAAAAAGGAAATTTTTACAGCTTAAGATATTCACAAACATTATTATTAAAAAAACAAACAGAAATAATTTAAAGCATTGGAATATGATTTTGTGTCTTTCAAGTTAATTGATAATTTCAGCGGGGGATATCAGAAAAATTATTACAGACCAAAGAAGATCTACAGAACTTCATTAACTTAAACTGACTTATGAAATTAGCATAACATATAAGAGATGTAACTTAAAAGATTACACATAAAACATTAATCAATGTAAAATTTCATCCATATACATTATTGACAAACACTAATGATTTCAATCTTTTTTAAGAAAACATTACTGCCTATTGTCTGTAAATATAAAAAAATATGAAAAGAATTGCTCTTAAAAATCAATTTAGAATGTATTAATTTTTATTTACATTAAAAAATTGTTTTTAAAATTGTCCACATATCAGAATTTTTAAAGAATATTTCACTCTAGTACAGGGGTGGCCAACCTTTTTAGCA